CTCACATGGTTCACCGATTCCGAGCAAGAGCGAGAGGAAACAGGAGATGAAAAGGAGGGAGGAGACAGGGTTAGCGAACTCAGTGCGAGGTGGAGGAGCGCCGGCGAGGTCACCGGTGCCAGAGAGGACGGACGACGATGGTCGATGGAGAGCGGCGGCGGCGGTGGATCGCGAATGCGAGAGCGAGGCAGCGAGCGAGAGCAGACGGCGCGACGGGGGAGGAATGGGGATTAGGGACTTAGGGTTAGGGATGGAGAGGGAGGCAGCGGGCAGCGGCTTATATATGCGGCGGGGTGGGCTGGGTCAAGCTTGGTGGCTGCCTCCTTTGTTGGGCCAAATGAAGCCGTTAGGGGCACGGGCATCGGGGCGTGCCGTGCAGTGTACACGGGCAGGCCGGGTGGCGGTCCAAGCACGGCCTGGTGCCTCGGGCCGTGCCGGGCCCGTGCCCGTGGCGCCACGGGCCGTGCCGGCGGGCCGCAGGCTGCATGGCCAACTTTAGTGCAAGCATTCTTCTCGTTTTTGCCCCCAGAAACAGAAACCCTTTTTCCCAGTTGCATATGCGTTGTTCTCAAATGCTTGCACTGTTGCAGCGTGGTCAATTTCAGCATTTCAGCCGACAGCCAGAAGCTCCCTCCCATCCACTCTCGCTGACACAGGAGGGTACCCGCGGCAGCCTCGCTCCCTAAACCGTAAACCCTCGCTGGTCAGAGCCTCCGGAAGCTTCCCTCCCAACTCCCATCCCCTCTCCACGGCAGCCACTTGCAATCAAATATATTAATTTGTATAAGATGCTGCACGCTTACAGCTTTCCATCACGTAGTGGTATAATAATACAAATCTCGAAAATGAAAAGGAGCATCAGTATTAGCTTAACTATTTCCCACTCTTAATTACCATAATTAATCTGTCACGCTGCATATAATAATAGTAATACTGGAGTAGTATCATAAAAAGTGTGCACGGAATTAAAATAAAATAATAAAAATCTCATAGTACACGATGGGCAGCTTTTGGTCGACGAAATCCTCAACCAAATAAAAAGGCATGCACTTTCCCCTGAGATTGTGCAATCGATCAAGCGATCACCTTTCCACGGCCTCTGGACCTGGATCTGCCTCCATCCCACCTTAGGTCCTCCTGCCTGCTTATCGTTAAAAAAGGCTTATCACAGATCGCCTTTCCCAAGTCATTTTCTCTGCCATCGCACAACTCAATATGCATACATCATTAATTAAAACTATGTCTGGTATGAAAAACAACTTCAGTTCACGATTAGTAATATAGTACTCCCAACGTTCTAAATTATAAGTTGCTTTAACTTTTTAGGGAGTGTTAGTAAAGTAAAGTTGATGATTTACAAGTTCGGGTTCAGTTGAGAGATCTTCTACATTAGCAAATTTTTAGAAAGATATTCAGTAATTCAAAGAAAATGTGACATGATCATTAAGAAAGGAAAAGGAAAAGTGTAGTTGAAAAAACAGGGCGACAGTACGTACTGAAACAAGCTGGTGCCCTCAACAGTGGATTTTGGATGGTTCTGAATGATTCAATAGTATTATGTGAGAGAGAATAAGCTAAAACAAGCTGAAAGAAACCAGCAGTAAACTAGCCGAACGTGCTGAAAATTAAATAGATATACAGGCTACACTCTTCTCAGGTCCGAACCAACAAGCACAAAGGCATATTTGGAAAATACAAGAAAACTTACATTTGGTGTGTGTGTGTGTATACAGTACGTACAAATGGGGGGGTAGGTAGGGGGGGGGCGTCTGGGAGAGATTAAACTAAAGAATCAGCTTGTTTCAAGAATTCGGGCAGGCGACGCCGCACCCGTGGAGGACCAGATCCTGCTGTAGGTCCTTGTCCTTGGAGAGGGAGAAGGACCCAATCCGGCGCCATGTCCATGGGACTGCCATGGCCGCCGGAGCTAGGAGTGGATCTCGCCGAACTGAACTGGTCCGGAGAGGAACATGGCATGGACCAACTTGCTTGCATTATTAGAATATTACTGGAGTACGATTTTGGTATTACCCAGCCTCTTCTTCGAGGTAGGTATCGACGGCTCCTCTACGTGCAACTTATTCTTGGCCGGCCGCCATGGTGTGAGAGAAACACTTCCTCCCTTCCCTGTTGACACAGGGGAATTACGCGATCGTTTAATTAATAATATAACCATGCACGTTACTGTCGTACGTCGTCCGTATCTATACTGTATGTATACAGTACGTACAAATGAGCTGGTAGGTAGGTAGGACCAACTTCTTTTCCCGCGTCTGGGTGCACGTTAGTTCTTGGAAGGCTACAGGCAGGTGCAGTTGTTGCTGTTTTTGCACTGTTTGCTTTGCAAGCAGGCAGCAGCAGTGCTAAATCCCCGCTGGCGGAGAGAGTAAAGGAGAGAGAGTGCGGAGCGGACGTCTCGCGAAACGCCGGCTTGAAGCGGGCGGTATATCCATCCATCTAAAATCTTTTCAACTAAACCCATTCGATGCTCTTATCTCTTGTTGCGCTAAACACACAGGTCAAACGGTCGCATCTAAGCAGAAGGTGAGGGATCCTATCTCACCTCATCTCCGCCAAAAGATTAATTGGAAAAAGCCACGCTAGAGTTTATTTCGGTATCGGCATAAATCCACATCGGTATCATTTTCCTTGCTCTCAAGTAGTGCAGCCAAGCGCAGGCTTGGCCTTCCCGGGAAGGTGGCTGTGGAAAAACCGGACTCTTCGCCGTTTGCCACGGCCACGTACGTGAGCGCACGACCGCGAGAGCCTCCAGAAATTAGAGCATGTTTAGCACAGGTCCAGGGGCTCCGGCTCCTCTTCCGTCAGCACTGTACCGCACTGTTTCTACTGTAGCGGCTCATCGGCTTCAGCTCCTGCTGAAATGCACTACGAAGGGAAGGAAGCTAGAGGAGCTACGATTTGAGGCTCCGGCTGCTCCTCTACAGTGCAACTACAGTAGACGGAGAAGGAGCCGCCGGAGCTCCTCCGAACAGGCTCTAAAGCTTCCTCCCCTTCCCTGTCGCTGACACAGGGGACCCGCGGCAACATGCAATTAATTAATAATATAACCATGCAAGTTACTGTCGTACGTCGTCCTTGAGTCACTTAACCGTGGGAGGGAGGGTCAAAATTAGTAGTATAAGGAATAAGATAGGATGCTGAGAGTCTCCTGCACACACGCTTTCAGCCAAGGGAAAACACTTCCAGCTTCACGTGCAATAATACAAGAAAATCTCGAAAAATAGTTTTTGTGAGCAGCTTTCCTCGAGAATTTGTGGTTGACGAATCCTCCAAAAGGCACAGGTTTTGATCCCTTTATTCGATCCCATCCCAATCCCAAAGGGGGGTGTACGGTTCCCTGAGATATGATTGTGCATGCAATCGAACAAAAAGAGCAAGCGCTCGCGCTGTATAGAGATAAAAGAAGCAGTCACGCGGAGAAGATAAACGTGCAAAAAAAAGAGGAAAAATGAGAAAAATTTCAAGGGGGTGATAGGTGGAGGCCACCGATGACAAGTGGGATCGATTGATAATGGCGACTAACGATGTGAAAAATATGTGTTATCCATCCATCTAAAATCTTTTCAACTAAACAAAAAAAATAGGATAACCTTATCTCTTGAAACTAAACACACAGGTCAAACGGTCCCATTTAAGAGCAACTCCAACAAAGTGGCTATTTATGTTGTGGAATATATTTTTAGGTATTTTCACAAGAATTAGAAGTCCAACAGCTATTCTATCGTGTGATCCAAAATAACCAATACAAATATATCCCGTGTTTCTAGTGGGGCAAAGAAAGCAAGTCACTCAAGAGCTCATTATCATCGATACTATCCGTTGATGCCTATTCACGCAGAGATGGATGGCGCTTCAATGATAGGTAGTGTTTGGTGGCATGCAAGCTTGATGGTGGGAGTACACAAACAAGGGAAGTGAGCCAATCGAGCATGACGTGAGTTCTAAAAATAGATGATGAGAATTTAGAAAGGCATTGCTTGTTCATGTGAGTAGAGTTTTTGAGGAAGTTTTATTTTGGACAATGGCTAAATCAATGGTTTTAGAATCTAATTTTACATAATCTCTTGGAGTTGCTCTAAGAATCAAGGTGAGGGATCCTATCTCACCTCATCTCCAACCAAAATAATGTTAAAAAAAATCTCATATATCAAATAAAAAAAGAAGTGACTTTTGGTATCAAATGCATAAATCCACAACTGCTATGGAAAATATGATGAAAACTATTAGAAAAACTTCCAACCCTATAACAAGCTCATACATCCATCCATTACACGGAAGAATAAAGGGATAAAAAATAAAACTCGATATCCTCGAAATAACAGTTTCAAAGTTTTCAAAATTGATGTATACGACATACACCGACCAGTAACAGAGATCGATAGTTCTAATTACGGTTTTGGTTATCCTTGGCCTACGACATACAATTGAGTGTTTTATCTTAGGTCAATGTGATTACATATTCAGTCGCCATCACCAAAACAATAAATATGGGCGTGGTAGGAAAGAAAAAAAAAACTAGACGGTGGCATGCAAGACAAAGAGCTCGGACAAGTTAGGACCCCTCATGGAAGTAACACCTACAAATCCTGTGTTTGTGGGTTGGGTTGCTCTGTTCACATCTTCTCTCTCCCCTCTCTCTCTCTATATATACACATCGTGAGTTGTACTGGGACTATGTTTTTTTTACTAAATTTAGTAATAATAATGAAAAAACATTGTTTCCACTTCCTTGTGTTGTTGCCACGTACATCAACTTGTGGGTGCTGGTGTTCGGCATTGGTTGTTGGACGCGAGTGATATCTCTTCAGAATTCATGCGTAATCACGCAGCAGAAGCAGCAATATGTGAACCAATGCAGCCGCTGAGTGTTGCGCCCTGCATGGATCGTGCCACACGCGGCACTGGGGCAACAAGCACTGCACTCCCGCGGGCCACGGATTAATCCTCGCGCTAGATACGAATGGCATGAGTGGGGCTCCATGCCGGTCCGCTTGCATGTTTGGATGCCGCACTCGCCTGGGCTTGCCTACCAGGCAACCGATCGCGCCGATCGAAATCCAATGCCCGGGGACACTGCCTGGCGTCGGAGCTGGCTGGGAGGCAGCATCCAAACAGGCGCGCTGGGCGTTGCCCCGCCCGGGTGGCCTGACAGCATCGCCACGCCCGGTCGGCGAGGCGCCACACCGTCGCAGCCACCGATGGAGCCACAGAGCTCGGGACGTGCACAGACGGTCTTGGTTTCACACGTGCCACAGGGGCCACATCCCTGTAAAATCGACAGGGCGGGCTGCGTGGTTAAAGCATGTGCTTGGTTCGTGGTGTGAGCTGTGTATTTAAATCGGCGAGGCGCCACACCGTCGCAGCGTAAATAATCGTAAATTTTTAGTTAAAATAATTTTTTTTTTGCACCAAACTAGCCATGATCGTTTACGGGGTCCCGATTGTACGTGGGCATGCAACGTAGCAGACGACACGGACACACGGTCTCAATTTCGTGTCGCACGCATTCTGAGGAGCGGGGCGAGGATGGCATGCACTCAGATGATTCCCTTTCATGTTTTTTTTTTTTTTTTAAAATAAAAAGATTTGGGGCCCGTTTAGTTCACCCCCCAGAGTTGGCCCCGGCAGAATTCGGTTGACACCGGTAGCGTTCAGTAAAAATTTGTTTTTTATTTGAATAATTATCCAATCGCCGACTAATTGTGCTTAAAATGTTCGTCTCAAAAGACAAACCAAACTGTGCAAAATTTTCGATTTCATCAACATTTAAGATTAATACACGTAATTACAAATTTTTTGCGACGCAGAATCTTCTTTTTCATGCAAATTTAAAATCCGGAGTTTTGATGAACTAAACAAGGGCCTTGCTTATATTTGACACCGGGTCCTATACGGATAGGTGGATGATTAGAGTATTTAGGTGCAGGGAGGAGACTACTAAAAGACCCTGATGGTATCGTTTTCGCCCCGTTAATCCTCCGTCCCGCGCGATTAGCCCCGCTAATCACCCCGGCGCCCCGCTCTCTCTCCCGCGCAACCGCCGCCGCGCACGACGCCCAGCTCGGCAGCTCGCCCCGCGGCCTTCTATTGCCCGCCCTTCCCTCCCGCTCGCACAACCGCAGCTGTTTCTGTTTCACGCACGCCTCCCAAGCCCCCGTCCTGCGCCCCTGCCCAGCCATCGCGCGGCGTCGCGGCTCCGGAGCTCCGCGCCTCCGCCGGACCGTGGCTGGCCGCGGCCCGCTCAGCCCCGAGCCTCGGCCGCCGACGACTCTCGTCGACGTCTCTCGCGCCAACGCCGCTGTCGCCATCACCTCGCGTCGCGTCGCACAGGTCTCCGCCGACGCCGCTTGGTGCCGCCGCTGTAGCACGCCAGGAGCTGGTGTCTTCGTCGATCCCTTCGCCAGATCTTCATTGGGCCCTTCACCGGCGACGAGCACCCAACAGGTATGCCCACCCTTCCGCGGCTGGCGGCGTGGCGTCCCGGCTCCTCCTCCTTGTCTTCTCTGTCTCAACTGCGATGCACTCATTATCCCGTTTTTTTTCTCGCTGGTCTTGTTTTTTTTTTTTTTTTTTTTGTGATGGACTGATGGTGCTGTGTTTCTTTGCAGAGAAACAAGAAGTGAATAACGAGAAGAATCGAAGGCTGATTGAGACCCCGAATCTCCTTCTCTACATCGAGAACATGGTGATTCATTTTTTTTTCATGTGTTGTACCATGATACTGTCTACTGTCTACAAATAAAGGTTACATATTGGAAATTGGTCAAGAAATTCTATTGCTACTTGAATTATCAACCTGCCAAGAAATAAAGATTGTTCTGTTTTTTTTTCTTTTATTGAATCTTCTGTTGTCTTTCTACAGGCTGTAAGGATGGCTGGTTGGCTCCCAGATCCAAGTGAAGAGAGGTTTCCGAAAACATGCCAGGTTGGATTTGGTCTTGTTCTTGGTTCAGACGGCAAGCAGTTCCGAACCTGCAGTACTAAGGTTGTTTTATTGGTAGATCTATTTGATGAGGCTAAATCTCGGAGCAAATCAGAACTACTACAATCGCTCACTGAAAATGGTAAATTGGACTATTTTGGAACCTTATCTTTATCCTTCAGGTGAATATGATCATTATTTTTGTTCAGGCAAAATTGTGTTAGTAGCTCTGATTTTTGTTAGTGCTTCTGTTAGTAAGTTAGCACATGTGAAATAAGGCAGGATAGCGCTTGTGCTAGTGTTGTCAGTGGTTACCTTGTTTAACCATGCATCTCACTAGCTTGGTGGTTGTTGACATGATCATGTGCCGTAGGACTGCCTGTATTTGATCTGCACCTTGTGTTTGGTTTTAGCTGTTGTTCTTATTTGCTCCCTTTTACTGTCAGCACTTGACATAATTAGATAGGCCTACTACCACCAGCGGAACTATAACAGAGATATTTTTTATTAAATAGATCGATCTGCAGTTTTCTCTGTTCAGTCTCCAACAGTACCTCATGATTTCTCTGTTTTGTTTTTCAGTATGTCAGTCTAGCAGCACCTCAACTCTCTTTTCATTTCCAGACCAATGGTAGCAGCTTGCTCAATTCGATTTCTTTTTCTCTTTGCAGTACTATAGCAGGAACAGAAGGGCGGGCCTGGTGCAAGCGGTAGAGTTTTACCACATGTGACCGGAAGGTCCCGGTTCGAGTCGCGGTCTCCTCACATTGCACAGGCGAGGGTAAGGCTTGCCACTGACACCCTTCCCCAGACCCCGCACAGAGCGGGAACTCTCTGCACTGGGATACGCCCTTTAGTACTATAGCAGGAACAGCTCAATGCCTCTATATTTTGGTTCCCAGCAATTCGATAACAGCAAAGCTAACAGAAGCAGCATCTTGGAATTCTTCTGAGTCGGTTAGCTCAACAGGAGCAACAGATTCAGTGCAATGACATTCCATTCTTTTGCATGCATGCTTAGCCAGTGGTACTATGTGCTCAGGTCTTTTTGTTTATTCGAGCAGTGTAGACTAATCATTGCTTCCTTAACCTTCAGATATTACTTCAATTATTGTGCTAATTCTATTTTGTTCTCAAGGCAATAATAGTACTTGCTTTAGCTAGCTTTTACAACTAGTTCTATAGTAACCTGGTAACATGTTAATGAGTTTGAAAGTGCTATCAGATTTTTTCTTTCTTTCATCATTTTGCTTCCCCAATGAATTGAGAAATGCCTAATCTTTACATCACTAGCTAATATGTCTGTAATCTTGGTGATTAGAAGAGAGGCGCGTTGGGTTGTAACTATGATATATTTATGTCTTCTTTCAGAAAAATGGGAATTTTCAGGATTGGGGTTTCTAAAGATGAGTAAGAAAATGCCACTGTTACCTCTAGATGTGTAAGTCTAGAGAAACTGCAGTGCAGTGCTGAAATAAGCTTATTTTGCTTTCCGTTTTACCTCCCCACCATGTTACAATCAACTTGTATAACTGCTTGTAATGTGTTGCCGTATTACAAACAAATATTCCACTTCTCATGGAACACTTTTAGCTTTGATACTTCACTTACTTTGCAATATTCTTAAGCTGACTGCCATTTCAGGACTCAGGTGTTGAGCAAATGGGAATTGTATCACACGTCCTCAATGAAGGCCTATAGCATGAAGCAGGCAAGACAAAGCGCGGTTGTAAGAAAGTTATGGTGCTTTATATAACCACTACGATGTGCTTTATAAGAAAAATAACAGGGATTAAGTTAAACTAGCAAATAGGACTATGTACTACTAACTTGTTCAAATCAGAGAAAGAAGTGTTATTTTACTCAAAGTGGCTATATGTAATATCACAATGCAGTAGCTTTTTGTATATTTTCCTTTTTATATATGATCATACATTTATATAATTCTATGTTTGATTGACAAGAACATTTGTTGAGTAAACTGTCCAGAGAAGAAATTCTAGATTGCAGCATTATAAACTGTTTTTCTATATTATGGATTAACAAAATCATTTCATGTAATCGAAAAAAAAATCATTTCACACCGGACCTATGGTCATCATTTTTTATTTCTTTATAGTAATATATACAGGCCTAAAGAAAGTGTGCTGACAATGTCCTTTTATAAAGATGGGAGCCAAATGGAAAAAGGGGGTCAAGGTCAATAAATAAGTAACATTTTCTTACTATTTCCACATCTAGCTAAATGGTGTGTTTAGAAAGTAACTCTGTGACGTCTAATGGTAATCTCATAGTCATAGGTATGTGAAGGATTGATTTCGATTTCAGCCTATAACAAATATGAATAATTCAACTTTTATGAATTGACATCATTATTGGTTTTTAAATATGGTTGTCTTTTTTACATGCGCTATTTTTCAACCTATGTTAGGTAATCATTATTTTTTATTTACATCCTGAGTTAGGACAAGCAAATATTAAGCGCAATCTCATAAATTTTTTAATATGTTCTTTTTCTTTGGGTTGTCCTTTCGAAGGTTAGGAGTTTTGAGAAATATGGAGACTCCAAGGGCATCGCCGCATCGCTTTTCTGGGACGCGCATTGCTCCATCAAAGGAGACGCGGTCGCGGGACTTGGACGCGACGGTGCGGCGGCAGGGGACCCACGTCCATCAAGGGAGACGCGGCTGCTTCCGTCCCCATTCGCCGCCGCAGCGCGCCGAGCCCTGTCCAGATCGCCGCGGCACTTCCTGCCAGCGTCGGCGCGGCGCAGGTATCCTGTCCTCGCACTGGATCTGCCTTCTGCTTCTGCTGATTTGCGCTGGGTTTAGTGTGGCCGTGGTAGATGCGTACACGTTAGGCTGCCGCCGCCCTATTCAGAGGCAAATTAGGATTCTAATTTCCCACTGTAAGACCGTTGATGTGTGCTGCATTTGATTTCCTGAAGCGCTGTTGGTTATGCTTTTGTCTTGTTAACTTCATATTTATATGACTGTTCCTGTTCCATGGCGTTGGAAATCTATTTGAGCACTCAGTGAGTGGCCTCATGGTAAATCCATTTCTGGTTTGAAGATGCATCCCAACATGCTTCATCAATGACATCTGGACACTGGAATAGTATGTGCTGGTATTCTATGCTTCACCACCTGATTATCAATGGACTCTTTCGCTGTTTCCTGAGGAAACAGCCCAGCTACCTCTTCATTTTGATAATTCTTCACCTTGTTGCTCATGAGGCAAGAACACTGAGTTCAGACGGTATTGTGATGTTTATGTCTGCTATTTGTGGCACATTTTTTTCGCTTGTCCAAAATGCTAACACTAATTGGTATTCTACTGGTGAAGCACTTCTTGCCTCAAGAAGGCAGCTACAAATTCAGATGGGGTCTTTCTAAATTGGCGTGAGCAAGGTACAGACCCCTGCAATTGGAAGGGTGTTATATGTGATAGTCATAGGCTCATAGCAAGAGAGTAATTAGTCTGTAAGAATAAAAGAACCATTCTTTAAGCTAATTTGGTTTGTTGTGACCTGCTTAATATTTTATCTAGCTATCTACAGTTTTTGCAACAGTAATTTGTTTTTTTATGGGATAGAATTGTTAGGTGATCTCCACCGGCCAATTGGGCCCTTGGATCCGCCCTGATCGGGGGTGCCCAACCGTTCCATGGTTGGTGGGCCTCCCGTCGCTGGCAACGCCCCCTCACTTAGATCGGTTAGGGTTTTAGGGAATGTAGGTGGGGCGTCTGACGGCTCAGGTGAACTTCGTGCCTTGTGCCTCGGCCCCAAGAGATCATCTAACAAGAATTTCTCTAATATTAGAGAATGAAATTTCAGTATCTTCTAATACATGCGGATAATATTTTTTCTTTGGTACGTTAATTAGCAAATTTTGTGTAAAAGGTGCAATTGCTTTTGTACATGAGAGTTGGTACTACAAGATTCGGTCGATTATTCTTCTAAATGGAAGTCACTCATTAAGTTTGTTGTGATGCGACACTGCAAATAGTTCTTCAGCTATGAGTTTATATTTTGCTGCTTTTCTGCTTTGATTGGCATATGAAATATCATGTATGAGGCTACTATTGGATTGGCATATAAAAGATTATATAGGTACACTGCTGTCCGGTTTCTAGAGGATTAGGCTATGTGAAAGTGGTGGATTCTACCTTCTGAAAACGATGTCTAGCATTCTGGACCAGACTGGTTGCTAATGCTTGTGGAGAAGTGTCTAGCTGAACTGCCTGAAGTAATCTCTAATTTCTTTATGCTTATCTGGCTGGTATTGAGTGTAATAGTGTCCTATAGTCTAGAGATAAGAGATGGGCAACCAAAATTAACTGGGTGGTGTGATCTGTGTAACATTGCAGGGATGTTGACGAAGCAGAAGCTGCAGCATGCTTGGAGGGGATTTGATAGAAGCAGAAACAGAAGTTGCAGCATGCTCAAGTCTAACAGATCATGAGTTTTCTTTCTTTTTTTTTTTTTGCTGACACATGCAAGTACAACCTAATCGCTCCTTGGTGGCATCGATCGCCCGTGAGCTCAACAGGAAGGCCGATAGCTGCAAAGTTCAAGAATTGAGAAGTTCGGAATGGAGCGAAATAAAGTTGTGCATGAACGTGCATGTTTTGCCAAAGACTGAATATTGTTTCCAGTTTTGTGTCAAGTCTTATTTTATAATGATATTGTTGAATTCGTAATAATAAAGCTATCTTTGGCAAAGACGCGGGTGTTCCTGTAGTTATATTGGATCTAGCTCTTGTGAAACTAAGCATTATGCAGGTAAATCACTTTTTGTTGTTTGAATTGCATTACCAAATATCACCGTAGCATTACAATTGCGTGAAATTGAACTCTGAAAAAATATTGTTTTTGTTTTCATGTGCATCCCTCTTAAAATAAAGCCGTGACATTAGCATGGACACTATACTACTATGTTGTTAAAGTGTGTTGATGAGATTAGGTCCTAATTAGGAGTTCCCTGCCAACCTTACATCCTTACATAGTTTAGGGGTAGGTTTACAAAGTCGGTGCTCCTCTAATCTTTGTTACATATTACTTTCCTAGTCGGATACACTGATCCATTGGTCATACGAGATGAGGTTTCTAGCTAACTATACATCAAAGTAGACGATGACCCTCAGCTCTTGGTAAAATCTGAAATTAATCCAACACGCACGACGCACCATAAGTCCGGGGAGCTGGGTTTGTCCTGATAACTAAAAGCAGCCATAACGCGCCAACGTGGCTAGTAGCCCTAACCTTCACATATGCTGCAGAGCTCCAATGTCAAATGCTACAGATACCGATGGTTTCTCCCCTTGTTTAATTTTCCCAAAAAGTGCTACTGATGTCAAATGCTACAGATATCGATGGTTTTCTAATTAATGAACTAATAAAAAAAAACGAAATTGCTACAATGAGCCATTTTCGCTGAACCGCGCGCAAACCATTACCTGCAGAGGCAACGATTGCCCCAATTGACAATTGACAAAAAATTGAAGCATCCACGAACTTGCAATGGAAGAGGAAAGCTACCTCAAAAGCTATTGCATGCGCTACCTTTTTTGGCTTGCTACCATCATAGCTTTGAAAGGACAGCTCTTACAAATGCAAGCATAAGGCCTGGATAGCGTTGAGTAGATGATCAATAGCCTTGGTTAATTCAATCTCCTTTTGAACCATGGCATTATAAAATGTCACGTTTTTTAGATCCGCCATTACTTTTCGTCATATAGAAATCATGCCATTATAATTTGTCATGCTATTATAGTTTAAGAGAATTTCGTATATGCCGTTGAATGATTCAACAGTGCTGAAAAAGACACTGAAAAAATGATTTGGACATGAGGGCTATCGAATTTATTCGAAATACGTACATTAAGTATTTGGTTGACGTATAAATAAATTGTCCACTTAGCTTAGGTTCTTTTTTTTAATAAACTGGTCGACAGACTGAGGTTGAATCTGGCACGCGCAAAATAATTGTAGCTTATTACATAAAAAGCCACAAGAAAAGAGTAGAAATAACATACATATCACGAAAGCTCCTGGAAACAGCTTACTAATTTGAGAGTGTGTTTCGAAAGCAGTGAACCACGAGTACGTGACATCCCCTGAACCGGGAGCAAAGCGAACTCAGCTGGGCGCTAACTAAACGTCTGACAACCCCGACTGATATCGCCGCCTGCGCCTAGGCGGTGGCATGCTTTTCGTCCTTGTGGTGGCGCGCCTTCTCCTTCTCCTTCACCTCCGAACCCTGCGGCGTGTCGTACTCGTAGTCTGCACACAACGGATCACAGCCAGTCAATACACCGTCACGCACAAACCGAGATCAGATGCACGGCACGTACCGGGGTGGCTAGGATGGATCTCGGTGCCGGGGTGCTCCACGGGGTCGTTCCTGCCGTACACGCCGCCGAACCCCTCCCAGTCCGACTGCGTCGAGTACACCTCCCCGAACGAGTGGGTCATCACGTCCCTGCGCGCGACGTGGCCGAAACCAATCAAAAACCGCAAGCATGCCGCGGGGAGAACTGGAGAACGCATAGGAGACGCGGTGGATTACCCGGTGGCCTTGTGCATGTCGTCGCGGCGTTTGTTCTTGTCCCCGGCGGCGGCGTTCTGCGGGGGCACCTTCGGCTGCTCCATGCCGACGCACTGGTCGCCCGGCACGGGTGCGTTGCCGGCCGGCGTCGAGGACACGCTCCTCCCGCGTGCTACGCCCGCGGCGGGTACCACCAAGCCTGGCGCCGCGGCACCACCGGTCGTGCCGCCGATCCGGCCGAGCGCGAACCCGAGTCCCGTGCTCCTGCTAGCCGCCGCCCGAAGCGTGTAGGGGTACATGAGCAACAGAGTGGACGCGCACACGGCGATGTGGGCGATGTGTTCCCAGAGCACGGGCGAGGAGCGGGTTATAAGCGGCCGCGCCTGCCGTGGGGCTGCCGCCGTCGCGGTGGCGCCTCGCGCGGGGGCACACGTACGGAGCGCGCCTGGAAGGCACCAGAGGGGTGGCAGCGTGGCGCCGTGGACCGCGCGGCGCCGCACACGTACACGAACCGGTACATGCGCCGAGCGCGGGAGCGGATTCTGCCAGCGGTCTCGGCGTGGAAAAGCGCGCAGGGGATAGGGACGCCTCGTGTCAGTCGCCCAGGTCTCTCTCGTCGTCGCACGCCGGCACGCGACTCGCGTCGCGTCGCGGGTGGCCAGTCGGTGTATCCGTATCCGGCGCCCTGGCGATTGTGGGACGGTGACACGAGCTACCGATTCTTTGGCTGATTTAGCGTGAGAAAAAAATATTATTCATTGATTGAAAAATATACTTTATAAATTAAACAAGCCCAAGCAAACAGTGCGTTTACCGTTTATTAGAGCCAAGTGGTGGTGTGTGTCGCAGCAAGCGCCAAATGTACCGGGCTGATGGTTTTCGTCCGAGGCTAGGTTTACAAAACCCGACCAAATCGTCACAAGACAGCAACAGTCGGCGTAAAGGAAAAGCAGGCTGCCCAGGGACCAGTTCTGAAAGCCCAAAAGCACTCTGCGTTTTGGCCCAGTATTCAGTAGACTCTATCCTGTGGATTGCTTGATCAGATCGACTGAATAGTGTAAGGCATGAGCGTTATTATGGCGTTTTAAAAAAAATGAGCTTTATTATGGGGGTAGTTTTGATTAAGAACCCAAGTGGTGAGGTACAAATTGTTCAAAAAAAAGTGGTGAGGTACAGAAGGGAGCATTACAACTCGACAACGGCTAGGTCGCTGGCTGGAGCTCTATTGAAGGTGATCATAAGAAGTGGTTGGAACATGTACTACCTATCAGGCTAGGACGAGATGGCAGTTGATGAGGAGACTTGTGGGAGGATAATTCAAAGCCCCCTACAGGTCAATCGCGAAGCTCATCGTGGGAGTTGATAAAACAACCTTTCATATTGTTCTGGATTGAGGCCTCACCCCTTGTCATGCCTGATAATGAGCCCAATGAAATACACTCTAACAATGGCGTACTGGCGTCAACAATCAGCCCAAAGCAACCAGACTCATGGCCCAGTTGTAAAGTTCCCAACAGGAGTTTATAACAAGTCTTGGCTGACCTCTGATTGGGTGTTTCATCTTGCTCAATTGTCTTAAATCCATCAATTATAATGGCTTTTTGGTAGTGCTCCAACACCAAAAGGCGACACGAGAGGAGCGCTTCGTTCTGCACGTTTGGAGGAGTTGGAGCCATTTTAACGTACGGAGATGGAGTAATTATTCTCTCCGTATACTCCCTCAGTCCCAAAATACATTATGATTTTTATTTTTAAGCCTTTTGTTTGATTGTTCGTCTTGTTCAAAAGTTTTTATATAAATATTATTTATTTTGTTATGACTTATTTTATCATTAGACATACTTTAATAATAACTTGTTTATTTTATTATTTACAAAAAACTAAATAAGATAAATGGTCAAACATGATATCTAAAAGTCAAGAGCATCATCAATTTTGGGGCAGATGGAGTACTTCGTTTTGCATGTTTTGCCTCACCATTTTGCTTTTGGTATGCGACCATATCCCTGTATGACAAAAGAATTTAGCAAGGAATTTAGCTGGAGCGATTCATCAATCATAGCCCTTCATATGCTCTCTTCCAGTGAAATAGGCACCTTGTCGCTCTTGTTCATTCAAACAAAAAAAGACATCATTCTCTATGAGAGTTTTTGTATAAGGTCTATGAGAACAAAAAAAAAAGACATCATTCTCTATGAGAGTTTTTTTTTATATAAGGTCTGTGAGAGGTTTTGGACTAATCTTGTGAACACATGAATCGATTTTTTTTTTGCATTAATCATAGAGATTAATCCAAAAAAAACATCATTCTCTGTGGGAGGTTTTTAGTTCAAAGCCTAAACCGTGTTTTGGATTCCTTTTTAGTTCAAGGCCGTTTTTTGGATTCATATGAGAACTAGAAACTAGAAAAAAAAACTACCACCTAAGAATCAAGATTAGTTTAACTGTAGAAACGTTTAATTAATTATAAACTATCATCTGAGAATCTAGATTAGTTCATTCCAAATTACAAGTTGTTTTGACTTTTTTATATACATAGTTTTTGTTATACACTATATCTAGATACATAGTAAAAATAATGTATCTAGAAAAGTCAAAACGTCTTATAATAAAGAATGGAGGGAGTACAAGAAAATCAAGCAAAAACTGCACCGTAAATAATGTGGGAATTCTAACTAATTCGGTGAATCCCAAACAACGTGGGTGGCTCCCTTTCTGGTTCGACAGGCAGTACAATCGTTGAAGAATGTCGCGTATTATCCCGTCATCCTACCATGTGCTTGTGCTAATTTGTTTTGGACAAATGCGCAAATGCAATGCACTCATCAAAGACCAAAGCCGAGGGCAATAATGTCGCAAATGAAACAGTGCACCTACGGCCATATGCGACCACTCGCGCGACGTGATCGCTACCATGGTCACAGCCTACGGTTCACGCCTCAGGTAAAAGTCCATTTCACTCTGATCCTCGGTAACATTCCGTTTCCGCTGGAGTCAGCTTTGCTTTTTGCAGCTACTGTACTTCCTTGGACCGACGACACAGCACGCAATCCAGCTCTAAGCATTCTGATCATCTAAGCACAGGCTTAAAGCACTGTAAGCGTGGGACCCGCCGCCTCAGTCTGTTGGGGAACAGGCTTAACGCAGCTAATCCAGCCGCTTCAATCTGCTGGGGCACAGGCTTAACGCAGCTAATCCGGCCGCTTCAGTCTGCTGGGGCAGAAAATGTCAAGCAAGCGATGATTATTTGATTAGAACCATAGTCGGCAGCTTATGGTAGTAAACACGGCGCGTGGCTTCCTAAAATGTTCTCACCTTGCGATCGCCGATGGCAATGTCAGCGTGGGACCCGCCGACAGCTCGAAGTGGCCTCAAACTCAAGTTACGTGGAGGTAAAGCGAGCAAGCAACTCAACTGGGTGACGTATCTTCTCTGCCAAAACAAGTCGGGGTTGTTTGATCTTTGCAAATTGGTAACACTAAACCTTCATGGTTAAGTTGCAGTGAACTTCTCTATTATTGTTAAAAGAACTAGTATTTTCTACAATAATAAATCGCAGTCAAGATGAAACTAGACAAAATACTGCTACAGAGACACAATGTCCATTGGAACACATGAATTTCAGGAAAAACAACATCGCTCTCACTGCTTAGTCCATAATTATGGCTTGGTGCGGGGCAGCACCAAAACAAGCCATTGCTCCGAGTCCAGATATCGGTCATTGCATGCGTTCTCATCGAAGAAACAGAAAGAACCAGAAAATAAAGGCAGGCATACGATCCTTTTCACTAAAGAATGAATAAAGTTTTTCTAGCTAAAATGCGTGGAGTCATGAAGACGAGTAGCGAGTTTTAAGAGCAAGTATAATAGTATAATAGCAGGATGTAAGTAGGTTGAATGCTGACGTAGAGAAGAGAAGAGAGGAGAGAGAGGAGAAGCGGGTTGTAAGCTTACAGTCGGCTTAGACACAGGAACCGAGAAATTCTGTGAGAGAAACAGGTGGGCCATATATTAATGCTGAAGAGTTAACTACTATATGGGTGGGCTGAGAGATAAACTGCAAGAATCCTTACAGCCAGCAGCCAGCCTGTATTATTAGCCTTGCTCTAACTCTAGAAGAAAAGACTAAGCATCAACAGAAAGGAAATATGCTGCCTTCCGGATCAAGATAAAACGCCAAGCCTCCTAACAAATTGCATGAAAATGACAGCTTACAATCAGAACAGCAAGGATACAGGGCAGCACTGGAATAGGGTAATGGGCGCATTGCTTCTCTTTCACATAAATGGTGGCGTACTTGATGTGCATTGGAACACCTGCAACAGGCATGCGCAGCTACAAACAATGCTGAGCTATCTGTGATGAATACTTGAGAAACTAAATTCAAGTAAGAAACAGACAGCGATACATAAGAACCGAGGCCTGAGGCCATGAACCTTGAAACAGCAACAAGAGATGAATGGCACTTCCAGAAAATTATTAATCTCAACACACAAACTGAGGACTAAGACCCAAAGAGCAAACAGATATAAATAGCACAGATGACTAAGGAAAGAATGCAGGTTAACGAAGTAGTAGTAATTGCACGCTTATAGTGTTAGTCGTTGAACTCTTACTCTCGGTAGTAGCAGAATTCTTACTCTCATTGAGAGAGGATGACACTAGGAGTTGAATAATTTTTTGGTTTATTTCTCATACAAACTCACACAAATGTCATGTCAACCTGAGGGGTTGGGGATACATATTTATAGGCTGCTAGCCAGCCAACCATATGCCTAGATGCTGTCCTAGATGCTAGTCCTAGATGCTAAGATACCAGTCAAGGATGCTGTTGCTGCTGTCCCAGTCAAGGATGCTGTTGCTGCTGTCCCAGTCAAGGATGCTGCTGCTGCTGTCCTATGTCCCAATCAAGGATGCTGTCCTTGATGGTAGCAAAAACCCCACAAAGACTGTTGTAGCCCCACAAAGACCACATAGACTTATCCATCATCCCCCCTAAGTCTTGTGCGTCGTCTTATGGGGAAGTTGAACCATCCCGGTCCTAGAGCAGAGCTCAAGGAACTTGATCCTCCCAAGGGGCTTGGTGAGCAGGTCCGCAAGCTGG